ACACCTCATGGAGAGGCCCAGATGTGGATTGCTAGGGGAAGGTTGTTGTCAGAGCTGCCCATGGAACAAATGAATGCAGCAGACAACGTTCTTTGCATCACTTCCATCTCTGCCCTTCTCAACAGCGTGATCCTTGAAGATGATGTCCCTTTGGCTGCTTACACTGCAGTGCCCTGAAATGTCTCAGCATTTTGCTGAGATTATAACGTTGGCACAGTCCCGCATTTCCACAGTCATCACCCAGCAACAACAGATATGGAGATAATCTGTATCTGCCATTTGGATTTTCTTTGTAGGTTTGTCAGTGTGTGTGAAGAAACCTTCAGAATAGATATTTGGGTTATTAGGCACATTGACTACAGTTGGTAGTCTATCAAAACACATCCAGTCTTTCCCTGCTCTTCATAAGAGAGAGCTCTCTCAAGCTCAGCGGTGATTTGATTTGAATCCTTCTTAGTGGTTTAGAAGCCCCAACACTTTCACCTCATCCTCATGCATGGCATAACTTGAGGTACCCCCATCTTTTCCTTATTATCTAGCTACATTACCGAACTACATGCCGTCCTTTTGAGTCAATGTGGTCATATCACTGCTACTGCCTAGAAGTTCTACTTGTCTCTTTTTGAAATCAGAGGCAAGAACTCAAATTTTTTCTCCACTGCAATTTATTGTATTAGATACTGCCCTGTAGGATTTGAGGGTAAGAAAACAGGCGAATTGCTGTCGCTGCTCAGCCTGTACCTGTGCAGCAAGGCTGTGGAACTGGCTACCCTTCACAATACTTATCAATTGCATCTCGTATGGAAATGCATCTCTTACCACAAACTTAAAGGAGCTCAATTGCCTTGTACTAACTGAGGTGCTTGAAGTTCTTGAACTAGCAGAGATTACTGCTGTTTCAGAAACAAACAGAATTTTCAGGGTTTTTTAGTTGGCAGCATCCAAATGGAGCACAGTGAAGAGAAGTCCAAGCCAGCATCCCTTGTATGTGACATGCTTTGCAGATATTCACTTGCATCTCTGGAGGAGCGTTCAGCTGGCATGGCACTTTTTCCAGGCTAATACACCAAGCTAATCACTATGTTTTTTTCTCTGACAGTGTCTTGCTGATGTGACACCATTTTGGTTCTAAAGAAGTCTTAGTCCACAGCAGTTCAGCTATTGTACAGCAGACATACCTGCTGATTTTGGTTGCCAAAGGGCTATGGGAGCAGGAGGCCTTAGAAATTAGTCCCACAGTGTCTCATATGGATTATGTTCAATCATGGGGTATAGTGGAATGAAAAAGCTTAGAAAGTTTAGGAAATTCAACTTCTTGTTTAGATGGTCAAAATGTCTTCTGCAGAACAGCAAACCATATAGATTGAATCATCTAATGTATCTCTACTTGTTCAGAAATATGTACAAAAAAACCCTAGCAGTGTCTGCACTTCCTTTCCATACATGCGTAGTGTTTCCATGCAAACACACCTCCAAACTGTGGAAAGGTTTCCGAGCCTTTTCATGGAAGAAAGTCAAGTCACTTTGGAATTCTTCCCACTTCAGAGGTAAACATTTTGCCTAGCTCTTGTAACAGATATTTTTATGTAACAGAAGATCTCTTTGCTCTTTGACCTTAAAGCTGCCGAACTTATGCTTTTCTATGTCATATTATAAGGATTAGTATTTTGTGTCAAAGGTCTCAGTAGATCCAGATGGTACCCAGTTTTGTATTTATTATTTATTTATACGAATAAGGAAATGTACATAACTATATCAAGTAGGGAAATAATCTTAATTATTTTAATAAGAGAGATGAATTTCAGGGTAGAAGTTAACTACATGAAGAATTGGGGATTAACAGCTCCCTCTCCTCTCCCCCCCCCCAAAAAAAAAAACACAACCTTCCACAGTAAGCTGCAGTTTGTCTTTAATTCTGTACTTCATTCTAGAGCATTCAGTATGGGTGAGCTTGGAAAGTAGAATATGGGACTACTGGGACTAGGGCTGATTTTGTGTCAGGCAGTTTAGAAATGTAACCTGGAAACAGTTCAATTTACTTGTGTTCATGTATTGGCCTCCTGCTAGTTCCTTCATACAAAATTAACCTGCATTGGGACCTTCAAGGTGACCTGGTTGGGGTTTTTTTTTTTGGTTATTGCAGTTTATTTTTAAGCCTATTCCAATCTCTTTTTTTTTTTTTTTGGTAAGCACACTCATTGTGCTCACTGCTACATCCCAGGTTCCCAGCACAGCCATTGTCAGTGATTTGCAATCTTCTTCTCAGCTGTCTGTTGTGTAATGTTGTCTATTTGTTATAGATTAAAGAAATTTTTAAAGGCCAGCATCACTGGCACCAGCTCTCTAAAAGGGTAATATCTCTTTACACTGATGCTTTTTTTATCCATTTCCTTTTATGATAGCCATGGCTTGTCTCTTGCTTTCTGTCTCACCAGGTAATTGTAGAAAAAGCACCAAAAGCCAGAGTACCCGACCTAGACAAAAGGAAGTATCTTGTACCTTCTGACCTCACAGGTAACAAAGTCTACCTCCTTTCTTCCTGATTTTCAGTGAGAAGGTTTTAGAAGTGCTTTTTATTCATACAATCATCACCTGAAAATATCCAGGCAGGCTGAGCTAAGCATCTTATCATTACCCCAGTTTAATTAGCTATACTCATTATATTTACGTGTTTTAGAGTCTGGATTATCAGCATGCAGGATTGTCTGAGATGTCTGAGGTGTGCCAGTGACTTAACTAATATGCACGTGTCACTGCTGACTTCTAGCTATGATGAAAATGACTGAATTGTGTGTCATAGGCAGTAGCATAAGTATCAATCAATGATGACTTAGCTGCAGCTCAGGTTGCCAGAGGCTGTATCCTTGTGGCAGGAAAAGACAAGTTATTGAAAGAGTGTCACAGTTTTCCAGCACCAATGGTTGGAGTCATGGCCACAAAGTTCTTTTTCTGAGTGGTCATGGCCATTTAGTATATTTTTGTTTTCATTTGAGAACATGAATGAGTTAAAGGAACAGCTCTTTTTTTTTCCTTACAGGATAAAATTGACTGCAGAATACTTTTTTGTGGAAAATAGCTAAAGCAAATAAGGAATTTATTTTCAGGAATTATAAATATATTTACACTCTGGCAAAATTCTCCAAGGTGTTATTGATGTATAGGATTCAAAGGTTAAGCAAGTTAAATGTCTTTTCACCAATCCCCTCAGTAGAGCATTTCCTACCATAATAGGTGAGGTGTGGATATTGAGTATGTAATGGCCTAAGATGACATAGAGAATTTGCCAGCACTGAACAGGATGGCTGCTAATGTGGTTACAGTCATGAAGTTCCTACTTGCTTTTCCACATTGTCCCTTTTCCGCTATTTTTTATATATAGTGTTTGATTTCCACAGCTTCTTTCCCAAAAGAAAACAACCATGTTTAGGATAAAATAAAACAACAAATTAAAAAAAAATAAAAAATAAATAAAAAAGGAAGGTATTTCTGCATCTAAGATGTTCTCCTCTGTTCCTCTTTAGTTGGGCAGTTCTACTTCTTAATCCGAAAGCGAATCCACCTGAGGCCAGAGGATGCACTGTTCTTCTTTGTCAATAATACCATCCCCCCCACCAGTGCTACCATGGGCCAGCTGTATGAGGTAAGCCTGGCCCATCTCTTTCTCCTTTTGTTGGAGTGTCCAGAAGAACACATATCCTCACTATAGTACAACTGTGCACCACTCAGCTGACAGCAGATGCAGCTTGGCCACAGATCCCTGAACATAGAAGCCATTGGCCTTGGCTATATTCCTTCATCTCTTCAGGAAAATGATGTTCTGCAGTTATAAGGAGGAGTCCAGGGAGCCTAGTAATTGTAATTAATTGTTTGCTAGTTGAAAGTGTTGTTATATCAGGTGGTGAATAGTTTTCCCAGCAGTTATATCTTTGGTCCTACCACTTTAACAAGCTATTGAAACAAACCATTTACCTGTATTACAGATGCACAAGTGTCAGGAGCAGGAAACAGAACATACGCACCTTTCCTGTTTATACAAAAAAAATTTCCTCTTAGCCAGTCTTAGCTGATTTCTCCTTGATTTCTCCATTGACTGTGCTGGTGTTTTTTAATGTGAAAGCTCCAATTTGGTGCTGGAAGCCTTGTTTGACCAGGCACTGTGTCTGACAATGACTGGACAATGTGTATATAAACTAATGAAGATGATTTAAGATTAGCACACACAGATCTGGACATGTAGGATAAAAGTATGTCTAACTGTCCAGAGCTGAGATCTGGACTCTGTCTCTGGCATCCTGCAGACTTTTTATGTCTATGGAATCACTTAATATCTGTTTTACTGTCCATATATAAAACAGGACAGCCACTTGTCAAGGTGTTCTGAAAAATTATGAATATAACGACATTTATCAAACACCAAAGTATGCAGGGATTATTTTTGACATGTTAAAGCTCTCCAAGTCACTCCCCCTGACCTTAAGGCCATACCAGTGCACAGTCTGCAACAGTCAGGGCTGTTCCTGTTGTGTGTTTTCAGGACGCTCTGGCTGTGGCTTTTCTAGTAAATCCGGTGTGTCCAGAAATGTGACATGTCTGCATGTAGAGGTAGAGCTGTGGCCAGGGAGCATTGCTCCACACATTCTGATGTAGTGGATTAGCCCTTCTTCTTGTTACGGTGATCTCCTGGTGGGCTTTTTCACATGTAGTGAGTTACAGGGCTATGGTTTGTTACTTCCTCCCTTTCTTCCCTTGCAGGATAACCACGAGGAGGACTATTTTCTCTATGTGGCCTACAGTGATGAGAGCGTCTATGGCAAGTGAGCGTCAGCCCCCCAGGCATGCAGGCGAGATGGACTGATGGAACTGATTGGGGGGGGAGGGGTGTTAGAGAGGAGGAAGGACAATGCTTGAGAAGAGGGGAAGAGAACTGGAAGTGAAATACATGCACAAATGCTATCACCTTCCATGCATTAATTATAACCATCATTTTTTAATTGAGGGGAGGGAGGTTAAGGGTACAGTGAATGAAAGGGTGAACTGATAGGCTAGGGAGGAGCGCTGGGTTGAGGAGTGGGGAGACTCCACTGTTTGTAGTTCTTCTGTTGCCACAGCTGGAAGCTGTTAGCCAGGACTGGAGGCTGCTAGACAAGCCAGTGGAGCTCCTGGAGAGTGACTGCACAGGACGGAAATGGCCATTCATGTGTAACCCTTTCATTGGATGAGGAAGGCATGCCTGGAACATGTATCGTACACTGACCGTGTCACACCTTACCCATGGCACAGACCACACTCCTATGAGCATTCAGCAAGCTGTGAAATATTTCATCCTGCCCATACAAGGCTGTCTTCTGCTGACAGTCCTCACACCAGATGCTACCTGTGAAGCATTACAAGACTACTGCATTTTCTGTCACTTCAGCAGTTTTAGAAAAGATAATTCTTGAGGGTTGAGAACTCCTCAGCTGTGAGACATAAAGATTGAGAGGATGGGGGGAAAAGGAAGGATTTTTTTTCCTTTATTGCTTTAATTGCAAGTGCTGGACAAAAAAAAAAAAAAAAAGAAACAACCCTTTTGTTCTTTTCAGGGAAGCCAACTGCTAAACTTACAAGCATAGGGCTAGAAAGGACCTCATGAGAACAACTAGCCCACTCCAGCTCTGAGACAGGGCTGAGTATACCAAACATGACTGTTCTTCCAACTTGTTCTTAGTGAAATTCGTGTAGGTGGATCCTGGAGGCTGCTTAGATAGCTTGTACCAGTTCCCAGCTAACCTACAAGTGAGAGAGCTTTTCTTGCTATCTAACTATTCTCCCTTGCAGTGCATTAAGGTGATTAATTACTAATGGTCTTGTTATTGGTGAACACAGAAAATTAGCCATCAGTGTTGTCCTTGTACCAGTCTTCTGCAGATTTGAAGATAGCAGAAGTCCTTTGGGCTTAGCCTTCCCTTCCATGTCTCATCCCTGTACAGATCTTGCACCACTTGCACAAGCAGAAGAAATCAGTCCCTCCCGTGTGTCTTTTGCTGGCTTTTTGTGATTGGACAACAGTGCCGCTCTGACACAAGAGAGGTGCTTTTAGACATGAAGGGGAAAAGATTCTCTGTAGATTTTGTATTTAATTACTTTAAGCCAGTGTTGTTCTTAGAAAGGTACCAGATAGATTCTGTCCAGTGTAAGCCTTATGCTGTCATGCCAAAGCAGTTTCTTCCTGGTGGCACAAACAGCAGATTTTCCCATAACTGCCATAACTCTGATGAGGGGCTGGGGTTTGCAGAGTGAGCTGACTTTCAGGAAGGTTCTGGGGTTTTATCTAAAGTCAGAGAACTGGACCTGAATTACTGTAAACATTCCTAGATTTAGGGGAGGGACCAGGATGGAGGAAAAGACAAGATAGATGAAGAAGACAGGCAGAGTCCAAAATAAATTGAGAGTGTTTACTACATATACATGAAGTTAAATCCCAGGTCTCTGTTCCTCAGAAATGAGAGATCAAGATGAGTGCTTCTCGGATTATGGAAAACAGGAAATCAGATTTCAGGCTTTTCTGACTTGTTCCACTGAGTTGTACATGGCAGAAAAGCAGGCTGGGAGTGTGAAGTGGGAGTCACTGACAGAACTGTGTGAAGGTCCAGGAGGCTGTATGGTAGGGCAGGAGAGTCACTGACTGTGTGTTGTGGAAAGTAGCAGATGAATGGCAGAGAAGGGAGGAAGTGCAAAGGATCTAGGCAGGGTAGTCAGAATGGACAGACTGAAAATGGGGGAACAAAAGATGAAGTAGGTGGGTTTCTATCTAGTTTTTCATCCTGAAGTTGAGGTTTGCTGTTCCATCATGTGTTCATCTGAAATAAATGCATCTGGATGAGTTGTACCTACTGCCAGCTCAGATAACCAGTTTCTGCCTGCAGTGTTCAGTCCTCTCTTACTGGCCCACTTTCTTCCAATGGTCAGACTCTTTTCACATCGTTTGGGTGCAAATCTACATCAGTCTCTTGTTTTAGGAAGTTCTGAATGTTCTGAAGCAGAGAACAGACCCAGAAGTTTTTTTAGGGTGAGAGACAAGATGGGGGCAGATGGTGTACATCTCTCTGCCACTGTCCCACTCGCTCACGTGTACTGCTAAGCACAGGGTTGTGTATTGTCTGAAACTAACCTGTGCTTAGGCACACTTGAGAGAAATTAATTGGAATCTGAGGTGTTTTTTTTAAATTGTTCAGACCTCTACCCTCTCACTGATGGGTTTATAAGTGATAAGTATGGGACTAATCTCAGCTGTTTGCTGCATTTAGAGTTTACACTTTAATTTAGTTATTTTACGTTTCTTTTAACTGGATTGTGGCATTTACTTCTGTTTTTGCGCGCTAGTCCAATATTGTACAAGGTAATGATGGTAATTTCTTTTTGAGTTGGTTAGCTGCAGATTCTTGTAAAATAAAGTTCATATTACTTGAGCTAAATCAGCCAATCAATAAAGATGCATTGAAAACCACAAGTTTGGTCCAAAACAGGTGACTGTAGTATTTCTCCCCATATGTGTGCTTGTAAATAAAGGGCCTGTCCAGCTGGGGCAGCTTTGTCAGAACTTCTCACCGCTATTTTTTCCCTGCCCAGCCATCACTGGACTTGGTCCTGACCCTGACCTGTGGATGGACTTCCTATCTGGACCTTGCACCCTCCTCACCACTGTGATGAGCCCTGTGGTCTAGGCTGGTGGCTGGGCCTGGCCACCATTCCTGGGCCTGCCCTGTGCCCCCCACAGGGACAAGGAAATGCAGAATTCACTGAGGGGCAGGCCTGCAATGGCAGTAGATCTGGGCTGCACAGAATCATGGTATATCACAGAATACCTGAGGTTAGATGAGACCTTGGGGGGGTCATCTGGTCAAACCCTAGGGCCACCGAAAGCTGTCTGCCCAGGAGCATGACCAGACAGTTTTTGAATATCTCCAAGGAGGCAGACTGCACAACCTCTCTGGGCATATCCTTATGGATATTTGTATGCTGACAGAAAAAGAGCCCTGCTGGGAGCAGGCAAGCCCAGCGGGTGCTGTCTGCTCATAGCACAGCCACTTCAGGACACAAGGCAATGGTGAGAATCACATAGCTTCCCCCACATCACTTATCCTTCCAGGCTGTGGGGCTAGGCCAAGCTGGGCACTGGAGCATGCCTGTTACACTGTGGCATCACGAATGTGGGTTTGTGCCAGTACTGCTAGCCAGGATGGAGCCAAAGTGCTTGTTATAGGTTAACCCTGTTAGGCAGCTAAGCACCACACAGTTGGTCCCTCACTTTTCCATCGCCACCTCCAGTGGGACGGGGGAAGAGTAAAAGCATGAAAAACTTGTGGGTTGAGATAAAAATTATTTAATAAGTGAAGAAGTGGAAGAAAGAGAAAACAAAACGAGATACAAAGTTAATCACTTACCACTTCCCATGGGTAGATGGATACCCAGACAGTTCCCAAGCAGAAGATGTCTAACTGACCTAAAACACCTCCTCTCCCTGTTTTTTGCTGAGCATGATGTTACATATTATGGAATATCTCTGTGGTTAATTCAGGTCACCTGCCTGATTGTGTCCCCTCCCAACCTCTTGCATACCTCCAATCTGTTCAATGGGGGGACAGTGAGAAACAGAAATCCTTGACACTGTATAAACGCTGTTTAGGAATAGCTAAAACATGGGTGTGTTATCAGCACTGTTTTGGTCACAAATCTAAAATACAGCACCATACAAGCTACTATGAGGAAAATTAATTCCATCCCAACCAGACCCAGAGTTGTGCCAATGCTGACAAGAAGCATCCTTCAGCTTTTGTTATGGCGTCTGCAGGCTGCACACGGAGTGGGCGAGAAAGTTGCTTCAAGCACCAAAGTCAAGAACTGTAACACTGAAACTCACAGGAACAAAATTTATTAGGCCCAACAGGATATTTTCTTCCCCACTGTGTAAAAGGTAGAGCCACGGTTTGAGGTTTTGCTGTTTGTACTGAGGTCTATCAGAGACAGTAATTCATCCTGCACCATGTAAACACAGAGCCTACACTTAGCAAAGCTTCTGTGCTTATAAACACTACCAGGACTAAAACAAATCCCCTCTGTATAGCATAATGGTGCTGTGACTCCAGCTAGACAAAGATCTGCTAAAAGCTTATACTACCCGCTGAAATCATTCAAAATAGTTGCAGTTTTCAGCTTCAAATGTAGTGCATGTTTTACTCTTTAGGTTATGATGTTCTCTGCTGGCTGAAGTAGAAAACCACTATGGAGTTGTATCTGACCAACCAGACCTCTCCCACTCCCCCTCTCACCCTTTTCCTAGGAAAAAGGCATATCAATGATTCTTGTCTGCCTCTTATGTGCCATGATGCTTGCATGTTTGTGTCAGTGCCATTCACGAAAGAAATAGCACACTTGCTGAATATGGTATAACTGGTTCATATGTGAAATGTTAGCCTATGCTTAAAGGTTGTCACCTTTATTCTCCTGTGTCATGCCAATAAGGTTATAAAAATTGACTATTTTTGTAATAAGCAAGGCCTGGTGGAAACCAAGGGCTCAGCTGGTTAAGAGAGGTTGGGTAATTCATACACTGTATTGGTCACTGTCACTGCACCTGGGATCTTCTCTCCAGTGATCTTGATGCTTCTTTTCAAAGAAAACATTCTCTTGGGACAGAGATATCAGAGAGTATCTAAGGAAAAAGATGACCTTGGGAATTAGGGTGTCACAACACCACCATGAAGCAGATCTGGACTAACGTAACAGGTCCCAAATTATGTTAAATACTCATATTTTCATTCCGATAAAACAATCATGTCCAAGATGAAAGAAACACTGATTAAAACAGAAATAAAACTACCGGAGGGAGAAACTTAAGCTCACTCCTGTCACTCAACCTCTGACAATCAAACACTCCCCCAGGATGTGCCACAGAGTGTGACTAGAGAGCTCATTGCTGCCAGGGCACTTGTGGGACTGACCCAGTGTCAGAGATCATGAACAGTGACTGCCCCAGACTGTGCTGCCAATGTTTAGGAGGATGTTTCAAGTACCATGGTATTTCTGTTCCTGGAAGCGTGCATGAGCATAGCTTAATCCTGGCTATATCTGTGTTACAGGAATTAGTTAACATTCTCCTGAAAAAAATGGATTTTGCAGCATCTTTTTGTGAAGTAAGGATGTGATTCTCCCCAATTTTGCAGTCTGGCCAACGTCATTTGGATGTTGTCTTTTTGTTTGGGCTGTTAAAAAGTGGTGTAAATAGTGATACATGAAAACAGCAGGAGAACATTAAGATTTGCATTTTCAAATGAAGGCATTGCTAGAACTGCATTAAGGTGGAATGCTCTGGATTAGTAGCTGAAGGAAAAATTGATCTGATTCATCTCCTGTCAACTTTTTATTTTTATCTTGCAAGCTTAGAAGAAGTCTTTGTCAGAGCCTAGGACCTTGTTCTGTTGTTCATTGACAAATCCTCTCTAACCATCTGAGCAGTCTTCTGCAGCGTCCACACCCCACTTGGGAACCTGGAGAGCTTTCAGGAGGTAGTGATTCATGTTACCTATTGTAGGACATTCTCTCACTCCTTGGTGTGCCTAACTGCTCTTGAGAAAATTCATAAGATATTTTGGTCAGCATACTAGTCTGCTATTTGACATCTTTGGAATAGTTGTCCATGTAGTACCATACCTTTAGGTACTGACATTTACATCCACTGGAATGTAAATCTATGGTGTTTGCAGAGAAAGTAACTTTTGGGTGAAAGCATCCCTGTTCAGTGTTCACAGCATGTACAACCTGTGCATGGCAAGTCTCCCAGCTGCCACCAAATCTACAGGCTGCCACCTTCCTGCTGGAAATCTGGCTTTTCTCTCCCTGTTATGAGCGCACCATCAATGACAGTGACAGAGAGACTGACAGAGAGAGCAATCTAGAAGCACAAATGGTCTACAAGAAGGTGACAGCTGCCTGGCGGATTTGAGAGTGTCTCCTAACATGTCAGGGAGATCAGCAGTTGATGGTATATATCCTCATCCAAGCAGAGTTCTCTTCCATGAATTAAACCCTTTACTTTTTGTTTAGTTTGTAGCAGAGACAGATTCTGTGACTTCTGTCTTCCAATATCCTCGTATTCCTCCACTAGCAGCTGCCCTTTTTCCCGAGAGTGCTGCAAGGTTTGCAGGAACAGAAAGCACACCTCAGCCTTTGATGTCATTGCCTGTCCAGCTGCCTTCTGTCTCACAGGAGGTGACAGAAGGCTGAGGTTTTTTCTCATCCAGCAGCAGCATCTACCTCCATTACCTGGAGTTAGAAGACACTTTGCTGCCAAATATGCAATGAGCAGGATAGTGCGAAATGGGGGAAGAGGAGAGAGGATGAAAATTCATCACATCAAATAGACAAATGCATTGCACATCCTTGAACACATCAAACACCACTTTGACCACATACACAGAAGCATAGGCTACATCCTGCACCTCATGCTGGAAGTACACATACGCACCTCTTCCACCATGCTTCTTCACACTGCATCAAATGCACGTGTATCTTCACATGCTGCACTGGCCACAGTACAAATATCACCATTTTAAAACCCTGGCATGTCTTTAGTTGTACTCCACACCATAGTGAATTTGCATACATTCCCATAATACACCAACAACAAGCATATGCTTTCTATGCCAGGCCATATCACAGCAGATATGCAACACCTTACCAGTCCAGCATATTCGGCTGTAGTGCTAGGTAAGCAGAAGGGATGTAATGGAGACGGTGATATATGCTATTCACAGGATATAGTTCAGCTCCCCACACAGACAGCACATATGGAAAGCACTGCAGAAATGAAAGAAAAAAGATGGACACACACAGAGAATGTGACACTTTACATGCCTGGAGTACAGCCACACCATTAAGTATAGCACATCTGGACAACTGAGAAAGAAATACTGCAAAACTTACCACACAGCTGTGCTCACAGGCTTTCATCCAGTCCTTAGGATGATGGAAAAATACACCCCATGCAATAACGTGCATTCAGTGCAACTGGAGCCAACACTCATGTGGCAAAATAGGCCATAAAGAAGTGGAAATCAGTAGGAAAACATAGGATAGAAAAGATGCACAGAGTAATATACAGTCATGGGCTTCAGGTGGTTAAAGGACAATTTGCATGGGCAAAAGGAGTAAGAAAGGAACCTGGAGTGATCAGAAAAGATACCTGCAATCTACAGCCACTAAACACCTGCCTCTTTTCTATGGAGTGCCAGGTCACAGGAAACCTTGTAGGAGAGGAGCACACTACCTACAGCTGTACTTCAGAGATGAAATGGTGATCCTTCTTTCCTCTATCATTTTCAAATGAAGATGAAAAATAGTGTCTGGAAAAGCAGGACCCTTCTGATAGGGACTATGGTGGACTGGGAGAATAGGATGGAGGCATAACTAGAGTATTGGCAATTTGTGACATGCAGGTGGAGGTGGTAGCCTTGCAGAGCAAG